TCATAATCGATTATCAAGTATTTTTTAGGGCTTACTTAATATGTACCTATATAAAAGTCGTTACGACGTTGCCCCATTATGTGGACTGATGGTAGGTAACACCGCCACTTGTATTAAGATCCAGACTACCCGGTTGTAACGTAAATCGTAAATCATTACTGATATACCTATCTTAGGCAGCGTTATTTCATTCGGTTCACACATATTTTGTTCAAGTTTAAAATAATACTGCCTATAATCATTAACTTACACAAAATTGTTATTTTTTTCCGAACCTATTCTCGTGTCGAAACGTTAGAACAACAGACGGTTATCAAAAGTGTTTGTAAAACCAAAATGAGAGATCATTACACAATTATTGGCACAGTAATATGTAATATTAAACACTGCCGTCGAAGTGACGATGAAGTACCTATATCGAACAATATTATAAATATTATAGTGCTCGRCTTGATAGATCGCTACAAAAATGCCCTAAAAGCAACGTATATGCAATAAAAACGCATAATAGTAGTTGACCCATGTYCGAAACTCCGAAATCTAGTGTGCGATCAGCTGGAATTGCCGCCGCCGGTAGATCGTTTCATAAAAAAATCTAAACGAGAATAGTGTTGTTAACGATTGTTTTTTTAATCACGATGTAGATTATCTACACCGTGTTTCAAACCAATAAGAATATYACGAAAACTCAGTAGTAAAGAGATTTTGGACTCGACGTAAAACGCTGCACTGTGATCGGCCTATCGCGAAAAAAAACCAAGCGGCAACTGGTAACTGCTGCGTAAACAAGTAAAAGAAATTATTCAACCGCTGCTGATAAGATAAGAAAAAAAAACTTTTACGATTTTCCGGCTTCCGCATTCAATACATACCTTCGTTTTCAAAGCACAAGTCTTTAATAATTACTTACTGAGCCTTACCGATGTGAACAGAACAAGTGCACTGGTAACACGAAGTTATTGACGTTATTCTATATTCCATAAGGCTGATAAGTTAACTTGCCAAGGTAAGAACTAAGAATAATTAATTTACGTCAATATTTACATTTATTTAATTATTCACAAATAGTGATGAATTTTAAAGTCGAATGTTACCAGGCCAATTATCGAACAGGGCACTGATAAATTGTGTTATTATTGTTAAWAAATTGTAAACATGTAATACATGTCAGAGTGATCTAAGACTTTGACATCTGTAATGGTCACAATTTATTTTTTTCTTACATTTTTGACAATGCTTTGTATTTTTGTGTTTTACATACTATGCTAAAAATATTATAATATTGTTATTTTATTTCTGCTGATTCATTTAATCTACCGTCTATCTTAGATTGTTAAAACCATAAGTTTTTWCCCCTATTTAAAAATTGTTGAGTATACCTAAATAAAAAATAAGACATGACCGTTACACACTTTATTAGTTTTAAAAGTAACAATTAAATTGCATGATTTGTTTTACAAATTGCTCATTTTTTCTTGGCTTTATAATTAATGTACTGAAACACAATGAAACATGTGCATAAATATACAYTAAAAATTTGAGGAAAATTTAAAGATTTAAATAAATGCAGMATAATATGCAATTATGACTATTTATTTTTTTTAAACGGGGGATATTTGAGTGGGAATAAACTTYAAAAAAGCATAATTRTTCAAAAGTTGAAACACCTTAGATATATCTATGTAGAAATATGCATTACATAATAGGCACCTACCGTCCATATTGATAAAATAACATTTTTATATTTTTTTCTTAACTTTAAATATTAATACTAAACGTAATCATAATATTATAAAGAATTGTAAATTATTRGTAAATAATAGATATACAAAATAAATTATATACATTTGATACATTTATAGTTAGTATGATTCAAAATATAGATTCTAAGCATGAAGGCTCTTTATTATTWAAATTAAATTTTGTTAATTTATTTACAAAATATATAAATAAGTATGACATACTTAATCATTGTTTGTCATTACTATTATTATTATCCATTACCATCATGCATGCATAACCTAACCTTACCTTAATTAATTTGGAAAGCCAACAAATGAAATTTTCGGTCTTTTATATTTATTGGAACATTCAATATATTATTGATAACATTTTTCTATTTTAATATACATTGAAATAATTTAACTTTTAGTAGGTACTTATTGGAAAGTAAAATAGCTCACATTATTTGCTATGTATTTACTACTTAAAAATGACAATAGGTAGGTACCTACCTATTAATAAAAATAAATCTTTCCAACTAATGATAAGGATTTTTAATAATCATATTATTTTTATGCTTATTACAATTTACAGACACTAAACAATGTCTCAATTCATGAAACATATAATTAAATGCAACATTTCACAAACATATCTTCAATATTTTCCATTAAAGGTAATTTTATCTCAATGCTTCAATTTTAAATATTTATTGCATATATTTGTTATTGTTTTGTAGAACATTCAAGCTCGACATTTAAATTTATTAGAATGTCATAGCAAAGACTTATTGAATCAACATGGAGTCTCGGTTCAAAAATTTAAAATTGTGGAAAATGCAGATGAAACAAACAATTTGTTAAAATCATTTGGTATGTAGTTCAGGACAATATGTTTAAATAGTGTTATGAATTGATAACATAATTTTTTTGTATCAATTTAGTTTATTTTGAATTGTACTATTATACTTTATATTTTAGATGTAGAAGAATATGTATTAAAAGCTCAAGTATTGGCAGGGGGGCGAGGAAAAGGCCATTTCAGTAATGGATTCAAAGGAGGCGTTCATGTCACAAAGGAGTAAGTAGTTTATTAAATTCAAAAATTTGTATTTATGAATTTATTTTATTCAATATTTYGTAATTTATAGGCGACCGTACAAAGTAGGCCAGGTGGACCATGTCCAACTCTCTAAACCATACTTGTTATATATATTGTGACCAAATACATTTTTACCATGAAACTTTAATAATTAAAATAATATACAAATATTACAATGTTCAATGATAATAATTAATTAATTAAACACATTGAAAAATAAAATTTATAATATATCTAGTATCGCTTTAAGTATCTAAATTATGTGTGGTTTGGACCACCCTGTCAAAAAGATTTGCGCATGTATAACAATAGTCACTCGATAATTCAAAATTCRAGGGACTGAGTTAAAAATTCGATTTATAAAGGTTTTCGATTTACCGAGTGTTCAAATAATCGAAGGAAAAAAATTCAAATTAAAAAGAGGTGAAAAATTGTATGTATGTCCA